TGTGGTGGGCAAGACTGTGACTCAGAGAGAGAGGAACTGACCTGGGAGGAAGGGAGGAATAAGAGGAACAGCCGGTAGACGTCATGCTGAGAAACTTGGTCTTGTTCTCGTGGGCAGGAGGGAGTTCTTGATCTAAACTGAATTATTTTTAGGGAGAGTGACCCAGTAACAGGGGTGAGAGCAGCTCACACCTGGATCCTTACAAAGGCCTCCTCAGCCATGGCCCTTCCATCTCTTCCCAACCCTGCAGCCCAAGCAAGGCTCTTTAAACCTAAATCCGGTCGGATCTGTCACTCACTTAACATGCCCATGACACTCACTGGTTTTCCGCAGGCCTGCCCAGCCGTCCTCCATCTGCCCATGGAGTAGACACGTCACATCCTCTCCTGCCCACATCCCCTCACTTGGCACCAGCAGTGTGGGTCTCCCCTCTCTTCAGGGCTTTGCCTATGCTCTGCCAGCTCTGTGGGCCATCCTCCCCCAGACAGCCCCCTTCAGACTTTCATCCAAACTCAACCTCTTTGGAGTCTTTCTCTGACCACCTGTGATCAGAGTGTAAGTTACACAGTCACTGGATCACAGGCCACCTGGTGGGGTGAGGGACTGGGTCCTGCCCATCACAATGACTAAAGACCCAGGCTGATGGAGCAACCATGATCTCGGAATCTGCTGGTTGCCAGGCCAGGGAGACAAGGCAGAGAGAGCCCTTGAAGGGTCTCACGCAGCAGGAAGTGGCACACAGCACACTCCACTCACAACTCGCACCCGCACTAATCACTGCCCCAGCTCCCCACAGGGGTCAGGGAGGCACAGGCCTACCCTGTGCCGAGAAGGGCACCCACACTAACTGCAACCCCACCTGAACCTTCCTACGCCCCTTTCCTGCTTTATTTTTCCCCATAGCATTTGTCACTATCATATTCTATATTTACCTATTTTAACAGCTTTATTGATGTGTCGGTTCCATACAATAAAATTCCCCCATTCTTGATGCATAATTCAATTTTTTTTAGTGAATTCACAGAGTTGTACAACCACTGCCACAATCCAGTTTTAAGACAGTTCTATTGCTCCAAAATGTTCTGTCCAGGTGATTTGCAATTAATCCCCACTCCCAACACCAGCCTGAGGGAACCATTGATCCGCCTTCTGTCTCTGTAAGTGGGCCTTTTCTGGACGTTTTATATAAGTGGAATCACACATGTGTAGTCTTTTGCATTGGGCTCCTTTCATTTAGCACAAGGTTTCTGAGGTTGGCTCACGTTCTTGTCACTATCAGTAGTAGGGCGTTTCCTTTAAACCCAGTAATGCTCCCCCGTATGGATGCACACTTTGTTACCCACTTAGCCATCTATGGACTTTGGGGATGTGTTCCTTTGGGGGTTTACTCTGAATAATGCTGCCATGAATATTGACATCCAAGTTTTTCTATGAACACAAACTCTCATTTCTGCTGCTGGGTCATTTGGTAGGTTTATGTTTAATTTGAAAGAAATTGTCAAAACGTTTTCCGAAACGTCTGTCCCATTTCAGTTTCTCCTCAGCAGTGTATGAAGATCCCACATCCTCACCAGTGCTTGCTATCCCCTGGTTTTTGTTGCTGTTCTTTGGTTTGTTTTTGTTATTAGAGCCATCCTCGTACATGTAAAGTTGTATTTTATTGGGGATTTGACTTGTGTTTGTCTAGCAATTAATGATGTTGAGCATTTTTTTCTGTCCTTATTAGCCATTTGTGTGTCACACACCTCTTTGAATCTTTTACTTGCTTTTTAATGAGGTTGTCTGTTTTATTATTAGAGTTGCAAGAGTTCTTTATACATTCCAGATACAAATCTATTATCCAATATAAATCTTCCAATATTTTCGGCCAATCTGTGACTCAACCTTTCATTTTCTTAAGGTTATACTTAGTTTCTTCATAAGCTATTTCTTTTTATTTCCTTCTTTAATTTTTTTCATTTATTTATATTGTTTGGGATTCATTGAGGGTACAAAGAATTAGGTTACACTGAGTGCATTTGTTAGATAAAGTCCCTCTTGGGGTACACTTAATTTTTTAAGTGCAAACATTTTTAATTTTGATGAAGTCCAGTTTATCTATTGTTTCTTTTATGAATCATACTTCGGATGTGGTATCTAAGACTCTGCCTGACTCACCATCATAAATGTTTTCTCTTACGTTTACTTCTAAAAGTTGCATACTTTAGCATCTTAAATTTAGAGCTATTGTCTATTTTAAGTTAATCTTTGTGTATAGTGTGAGGTGAAGTCAAAGGGCTTGGGGGTTTGGTTTTGTTTTGTTTTTGCAAGATAGCTAATTGCCCCAGCATAATTTGTTAAAGGACTATCCATTCCCGGTTGAATTGTCCAGGCATGTTTGCAACATATCAATTGATGATGAACATTAGGGGTTGTCAATTCTATCCTATTGATCTTTATACCTGCCCTTGTTCTGTACTATATGATCTTGATTGCTATCAGTTTATAGTTTTGAAATCAAGTAGTTCCCAAGTTTT